AATCAATCAACAACTCATTCCCTTAATACATCTACGACTGAAACCAGTTACTTACTATGGGCTTTCCATGTTATCCATCAGGTGGACCATGGTAAGAAAGGGGTGMGAGAGACCCCTCTGTGGCGTTAGCCTCCTCCTGGGGTCAATCTGAAGGAGGCCTTTGAGCAGACTGACGAATGCTCTCCTGTCCTGGAGCTCAATGGATCCATTCAGCACTGGYTGAAGCTGGATTTKAAACAAAGTAGGTGACAGTTMAACTACTTCATGTCTCTCAACAGCAGAGAAACTTGGTACTWATTCTTTCTTTAGTAACGAAATGGACGACTTACTGTGATCAGGTCATTCAGGCTTCCAATGTCACRGGCCCACTCCTTGACCTGGATGCCAGTCCCACTTTCAAACTCACTTGGGGTCTACAGGAAGAAAAKATGTTGGTCAGTTACTTTATAATGTGTTCAACATTGGAAAGAGCTATTGTCTGAGTGGGAGAAAAATATTCTAAAACTGGTTAAAATACCTTTATCGACCACCCTGGGTTGCACCAGTGCTTGTCCTCCATGAAAAATTGGTGGCTGTATATTCCAGCSTTGAGGAAGTCATCATCTGGCTGACCCAGCATGTCTACAATTCCCTTCATCTGGACAGAGAATAACGAAAATCACATCAGCCAAAATCAAGTCTCCTGTTGGTCTGAACATGTTTTTGTGGCCGAATGTAACAGTTGTTGCATTTAAATCTTTGAATACTTACTCCCTGGTACTCGCAGTCCACTGAAAACGGGTGGTTGGCGAGGTAGAGGAAAAGGAGGATGCAGCCCAGACCCCACATATCAATGGCCTCTGAVACAGGGAGGCCCAGGGTGACTTCAGGTGACCTGTGAGTGAAAACAAGAACCAACATAAATACAAAGTCAAATTCATCATGTTTGCMGAAGACAATTTCTGCTYGATCATTTACAACACAAACACACAAGTGCACAGGTTGGCACATCGATCCTACCTGAAGCCTATGGGCTGGGTTTTCATGCCACGRGTGTTCTCTGACCTCATGAAGGACACACCAAAATCGATGAGTTTCACCCTGAAGGGCTCCCTCTCGTGGTTCACCAGCATCACATTGTCTGGTTTGAGGTCTGTGTGGATCACCCCAATGCTCTCCAGTGCGGCAAAAGTTGTCAGCAACTGCAGAAACAATGTCAAATGTTATTTACAGATCTAGAAGACAAACAGGTATGTTACCACTCGATGATYGATTGATTAAGGAGTCACATCATGTTTACCTGGTGAGCAATGGGCCGAATCTCACTCAGAGTCAGCGGATGTCCACGTCGTTGTTGCAGCAGCTGGTACAGGTTCATGTCCAGCCGCTCAAACACCAGACAGGTCTGTCCGCCGTCCTGAAACCGCTCAATGAAGTCGACCACGTTGCTTTTGGTGGGGTCAAGAGCGCTCACTGCCTTAAGCATCCACATCTGTAGAGGAAAGAGGAAACAGGATATAGGAGGTGTAGATGACACAGCATGGTCTCAACAGTTATTCTAAGAAACAAGTTAGGAGTAAGACAATGTGAAACAAAAACCTCAAAATGAACAAGATTACATACCTCTCTTSGAGCAGCATCCTCACGTTTGAGGATTTTGAMGGCCACTTCTTGYGATGTGGCCATGTTTACGGCCTTGACAACTTTGCCAAAGGCCCCCTCTCCGCACARRTCAGTMATGAGGTAGCWGTTGGTYCCACTGCACAGTATMTTGCTCTGTGGRGCCTCAYAATCCCCTGACTGCATCTGTTCATCTGTGACCAAGAAGAAGAACATAAGAAGGTTACAATATGGAGTCAGCA